GGGAGGGAGAACAGCTCCAGGCTGGGCTGAGAGTGCACCTGTGGGACGGGAGCATCCTCTTTGAGAGCAGGTCTGGAGGGTAGTAGGTCCTCAGTTACTGAGCATTTCCAATCCCGGCCCCAAGGACTTTCAGGGGGAACCTCAGAGTGCGTGTGGAGAGGTGGCTGAGCAGGTGGCACCCTCAACCAGAGCAGCCCCTTTTGGGTCTGCCTTGTATGTTGGGCTCTGCCAAGGTTTCCTTCCAAAAAGGAGGGAGCTGGAACTATATAAACAATAGTCATTTTCACATAAAGAAACATTAGAAAGAGACACAAGAAACCAGTTCAACTGGTTATAAGGGCCAGATGGGAACGGGTAGGAGCAAGATTTCCCAAGGTAAACCATGATATACAGCGGGGCCTTGACTTACGAGTGTCCCGACTAAACAAGTTTTTCGAGATACGAGCCAGCCATCTCTCGGCCGATTTTTTGCTTGGAGTTGCGAGCTAAAATTCGGGTTACGAGCCAGCTTCAGATACCCCACCGCTAGTGGGCGCAGCGAACGTCACAGTGAACGCCACAACATCAGCCCAGCGTCACATGTCTCACTCGTTCACTTTAAGATTTGACATATGAATAATTTGAGTTATGAGCTCCGTCACGGAACGAATTAAACTCATAAGTCAAGGCCCCACTGTATTGTTTTGGTTTTCGGAATACTTGAAAATACTTTGCATTCTCAGAGCAAAACTAAATGAATCTTACATTTAAAAAAGCAAACGAAAAAGAGGGGGAGTTGAACACGATTGACCTAGTTTAATGTTTCTCAGGTTGGGGTCGTACCACCCCTGGGAGCATTTGTTGTTGTCCTGGTGACTGAGGAACTGACTTGAGCGGGGCGGGGGCGGGGATGTTGGACACCCTGTGCTTGGCCAGTAGTGCCCCACTTGACCAACACTGACGGTGTGCAACCACGCTCTTGTCCAGATGGGGAGACTGAGGCCCAGAGTGGGGAGTTAGAGACAAGAGAACCTTGACCATCTCCTGCCTCCACTGTGAGGGGATGGGGCCTGGGCCAAGCAGGGCAAGTTGGCCTCAGGAACCACTGGCCCATGAGCGGTCTGGCCTACTTGCAGGAACACCAGACCGTTGTCTACCAGATGATCCAGCAGATCCAGCAGAAGCGGGAGCTGCAGCGGCTGCAGATGGCCGGGGGCTCTCAGCTGCCCATGGCCAGCCTGCTGGCAGGAAGCTCTGCCCCCCTGCTGTCTGCGGGCACTCCTGGCCTGCTGCCCGCAGCATCTGCCCCACCCCTGCTGCCCGCAGGAGCCCTGGTGGCTCCCTCCCTCGGCAACAACACAAGTCTCATGGCCGCAGCAGCTGCTGCCGCAGCAGCAGTAGCAGCAGCAGGCGGCCCCCCAGTCCTGACGGCTCAGACCAACCCCTTCCTCAGCCTGTCGGGGGCGGACAGCAGCGGCAGTGTTCCCAAAGGAGGGGTGAGTAAGGGGTCTGGGGCTGTGCTGTCTTCCTGCTCTGGGATAGGCAGCATCAGAAGGTCCATCATCAGGTGCATCATGAGGAGGAGGAGGAGGAAGTGACCCCTAGGTCAGCAAGGCACCCTGCTCCAGACCCCAGGGCCTCTGCGGGCACATGGGTTCCCTCCTGCAGAGCCAAGAAAGATGCGCTCTGAGCATGGGCTAATAGTAAAAGGACCAATTAGGAAGCAGCATTCCTCTGGGAGGACCAATTAGAAAAGGCCATTTCCTCTCTCAGTAGAAAGAGATGATGCTCTGGGTGGGCCTTTCTGGAAATGCCCACTTATGCCACTCTGAGGGCATAAAGATGGCATGGGTGCTGGCTTTGGCTGGAGCATGCCCGCCTAGCCAGGCACCCTTGTGCAGAGCACACTCCCCTTCTCCAGCCAGACCCAGCTTGGAACCAAGAAGATGTATCCTCTGCACTTTGTGATGGGGACACATACAGGATGAAGTGTCTGGTCCCGAACGGGCCGCAGTCCAGGCATCCAGGGCCGCTGTGGAAAGAGGTTGCGCAGAAACACCCCCCCGCCACAACACGTTGTTGACTTTGATGTATACCCATCAGAGCCCAGGTCAGGAACTTGAGCTGGGCTCCCTCACTGCACCTTTCAAAAGCTTTCTTAACCCAAAGAGCTGTTCTCAGCTGGGTGTTAGGACCAGACACCTCCCAAACCCCCAGCCTCCCTTCCTCTCTTTCCAGACCGCTGACAAAGGAGCCTCAGCCAACCAGGAAAAAGGCTAAATCCATCCACACCCCTCCTGACCCCCAAAGTGGAAGGGGCAATCCTGGCTTGAGGGGGTCCTAGCCTGGAGCAGGCACCTGCGCCCAGATCCTGGAGAGTCCCAGCCCAGAGCACGTGCTGAGACCTGGGGAGTGTGGGGTGCGCCTGGTGCTGAGGACTGAGACCCAGAGGGGAGCTCCTTCTCTCTGGCCCTTTTCCCCTCTGCAGAGACCCTTTGTGAGGGGCTCAGAGGGAGGACGGGCTCCAAGCTGACCCAGGGGCCCCTCTCAACAAACGTGTTGAGGTCCTCCAGGGAGCACAGTGGGCCACGGGATAAGTGGGGGGTTGGTCGGACCCACCACATAAAATGGATCAGCACTTGATGGGACAGGTCCTGGGCCTGCCCCTGCGCAGAAATCTGTTGAGGAAGAAGGGGTGGCCCTACTGGACCTGCAGTTCTTCCCAACTTGGGCAGAGGCAGGAGGGACCCCTTAGACTGTTTCTCACCTGTCTTCTTCCCCTGCCCACCCCCTCCCCCAGGGTCACAAGCTGAGCTTGTAAAAGCCCACAGACTAGGAGGCTGAGGAAGGGGCAGGGTGGCCTCAAACTCAGCCCAAGCCTCCCCACCTCTGGGGGAAGCCCAATGATGGGTTGGGGGGCGGAAACCCAACCCCCTGGGTGCCCTGCCCCTTTTTGCACTATTGGATATTGGATTTAGGAGTGCCGAGGGTGGGGAGATGGAGTTAGCTGCGTGTGTGTGTGCGTGTGCGTGTGCGTGTGTGTGTGCGTGTGTGTGTGTGTGTGTACACACGTGTGTACGTCTGTCTCCCCCAACCTGGGGCAGCCGAGGACAGGGATAGGAGCAGTGCTCAGAAGGGGGGCTCCCAGCTCTTGTTTGCACCCTCACCAACTTTGGTCCCTTTCTGGGGCATGCGTGGTTAACAGAAATCAGAGCAGGACTCCAATATGGGAGAGTGACTGGGGGCTGAGGGCTTTGAATCAGGGTAAATCCTGCCTTCCCTTCCGCCGATCCCTCATGCTCTTAGTGCCCCCTCAGAGCTCCCCTCCCTCCACTAGAGTTGGTCCTGCTTCCCTGGCACAAGGGGAGCCCCAGGGATTGGGGGACAGAGCAAGGGAGGGTCAAGTGCCACTTCCTTTTGTGAAGACCTCCCTCCCAGAACTAGCCAGCCTACTTCCTGCACCAGACCGCCACCTCCACCAACCAGGGGAGACTTACGCTTAAGCTGACCTACAACTGTCCCTTCACCCACCAGCTGTTTCCCCTCGGGGTATAGTGGGCAATGCTTAGATTCTCACCTGACGGAGTCCCACCTGCCCAGAGCCTTTGGTGGCAAAGGCCTAGGAGCCAGTGGGACAGCCAGGAGAGGGGCAAGGTGGAAGCCTGTGTCTGTTTCAGTTGCACTGGGGTTGGAGCCAGGAGAAGGCATTTCCAGCTTTCCCTGATGCTCATGTCTTGTCAGTCTCTTTGCATGTGTGGATGTGTGTGTGTGTGTGTGTGTGGATGTGTGTGTGTGTATGTTCCTGTTTGGGTTTTTGTTGTTGGTTTTTGTTTTTTTTAATAAAGAAAAGAAGATGTGTATATTTTTGGCAATGACAGAAACGTAGTGCAGATATATTTTTGCCTGTGCTGCTCAACTGGTTTTTTTCTGATACTGAAAATAATATTAATATTACTGTTGATAAGACTTTGTAATATGTTAGGGAGCTGATAATGGAGGGGGTGGGGTGGGAATCCTTCCAAGGCAATTTCTTAGGCCCTTGCAAGGGCTTGGGGGGAGGGGTGCAGTTGTGATGACCTCAGAAATACTCACTTTTTATTAATGCTAAATATCAGGAAGAAAGGATAGAATTCAGCATTGTGTTAATCTTCATCTGTTAAGCTATCTAACTCCCTGCCCCCAAATCACTGAGAAGAAAAACAACTTTTTCAGAGATTCTTAGAAGAGTTGTTCATTCACACCCACACCCTTGCGGAAGGCCAGCCCACTGAGAGCTGAAGTCCACTTCTGTTCTGGGTGGCGAGGGACAAATCCACCCAAGGCTGCTGTGTGTGGGGGGGGAGAGGTCCCCATGATTTAGTGCACTGGAACCAAGACCTCCTCCCCCCTTCCCGCACCCGCGAGTCTGGGGTTCTCACCTCCGAGAGTCTGTGTTTTCCAGCTTTCCCCAGGCGGGCGCAGCAGCGGGTAGTCAGGTTAGGTTTGAAGATGGGACCTGGGCTGGGTATGGACTGGTGCTGTGCGGGGGCCCCCCCCCCCCATTGGGGATGGGAAGGGGCCGGAGAGAGGTGGTACCTTTTCATCGTTTAGGGAGCTTTATCATAAGAAAGGCCTAGAGATCTTTAGGAAGGGGCAGGGTCCCAGTGTGTGTGTGTGGGGGG